ATGATTTAACATAATTTTGAAATAAATTAAAGATTTCTGAATATCACTTTATGTTAATACTTTTAAATACGTGGAATACAAAGTAAGCAAATCATCACCATCTTGAACAAGGTCGAATTTGACAATTCTACTCATCAATTGCTCCAATCGATCACCATTTAGGTCTTGCACATCTGTTTTCAAAAATATACTAAGACAGTAGAAGGCAACCTTTGTAGCTTTGATTCCAGTAAAAAGAAACAAGACATTGATATCACTGGGAAACATATCTCTATACAGATTCTTGTGTATGGTTTTTAAGGAAACCTAGAAGTATTTCCACCTCATCAGGTTCAAGTGGAGCAACTTTATTCCTTCCAACCCATACTAGATTCCATTTTCAGCACTCATTAAGAACATACTTCTGGACACTTGAAGGTGGCTCATTGTCATAAGCTTCAAGAGCCTTACAGATCCTTTCTGTCAATTTGGCACTTCATGTACATGTTTATAAATAGTTCAACTTTGTTCTTGGATTCCAAGAAGGCCATCATTTCTTTGTCAATGGAAAAGCATCAGCACATGGAGGAAGCAGAATAAGAGAAACTCTGTTCTTAATTGGCAGAATTATGAATATAGCCCTTTTCAGTATAGTAGCATGAAAATGCTTCGAATCTACAAAATCTGGCTCTACATCTAATAAGTACTGTGATATCCCAGTCCAAACATTAACTGGAACAGATGAATGTGCTCAATAGCATCTTCTGGAAGTGTTCTTTGAGTTATCTGATCTGGTTGGACAGAACTAATCATTGAATTTAGAAGATGAATTTGTTAATAGCATCTTCTGGAAGTGTTCTTTGAGTTATCTGATCTGGTTTAGCAGAACCAATCATTGAATTTAGAAGATGAATTTGTTAATAGCATCTTCTGGAAGTGTTCTTTGAGTTATCTGATCTGGTTTGGCAGAACCAATCATTGAATTTGGAAGATGAATGTGCTCATAGCATCTTTTGGAAGTGTTCTTTGAGTTATCTGATCTGGTTTGGTAAGAACTACAGAACCAATCATTAGCATTAAAAGATGAACTGCATGATCGTCTTCATTAAGAAGTTTCTTTTCAAGCTTCTTTTGCTTATTCCTTTCCCAAAAATCATAGCGCAAGTTTCGTCTTTGCTTGTAAATGGGATCATCACATAATAGCTTCCCATCTTTTACCGGAAGAAGGCTATTTGAAGTTTCAGCCTCTGAGAATCATATTTTTGTCAAGTATAACAGTTTATTCTCTTCATCAGAATCAGAAGTCAAGATTTCTCGGTATTAGAAGAACTATCGATATCTGTGAAATCATCTTGAAAGGTCACTTCATAATCAGATGAATTGTTATCAGAATCAACATGTTGCCTGAATACAAGCTTTTCAAGAGCCTATACTATTGAGTTTTATTCTCAAGAGGTTTTGTGACATTATATCTACATCTATATTTGTCAAAGATGATAGATTCTTTGTTTTGAAGAAGAAAGATCTATTGGGTTTTTACAATTGAAGAAATACTCAATTCACCAATCTGAAATCAAACAACTTAACATTCATGCATCATATTTAGGCATTTGCAAAAATAGATGCATTTTCATTCATTTTTACTCTTGTTGAATTTTTAACAGGAATTTCAAAGATTTTAGCAAAGATTCAAATCTATCATTTGATGGATTAGCTTTTCCAGAGAAGGTTCATAATGAGAAGAACTCATCTGAAGAAGGAAGAAGAAGTTCATAATGAGAAGAATTTGTTCAACCTTTTATCTGAATTCATCACTGGATGGATTATTTTTTCCAGAGAAAGTTCATAATGAGAAGAACTCATCTGAAGAAGGAAGAAGAAGTTCATAATAAGAAGAATTTGTTCAACCTTTTGGTTTGAATTCATCGTTTGATGGATCAACATTACCAGGAAGAGTTCATAATGAGAATAACTCGTCATCTGAAGAAGGAAGAAGAAAGTTCATAATGAGAAGAATTTGTTTAACCTTTTATCTGAATTCATCACTGGATGGATTATTTTTTCCAGAGAAAGTTCATAATGAGAAGAACTCATCTGAAGAAGGAAGAAGAAGTTCATAATAAGAAGAATTTGTTCAACCTTTTGGTTTGAATTCATCGTTTGATGGATCAACATTGCCAGGAAGAGTTCATAATGAGAAGAACTCGTCATCTGAAGAAGGAAGAAGAAGTTCATAATGAGAAGAATTTGTTCAACCTTTTATCTGAATTCATCACTGGATGGATTATTTTTTCCAGAGAAAGTTCATAATGAGAAGAACTCATCTGAAGAAGGAAGAAGAAGTTCATAATGAGAAGAACTTGTTCAACTTTTTGGTTTGAATTCATCATTGATGGATCACATTGCCAGGAAGAGTTCATAATGAGAAGAACTCATCTGAAGAAGAAAGAAGAAGTTCATAATAAGAAGAAATTGTTCAACTTTTTGCATAATTCTATCACAGAAGGAGATAGATTAGCATCAGCCTTTATAGAGAAAGTTCATAATGAGAAGAACTCATCAAGAGCTTATTCAACCTTTTGAATGACTCTATCACAGAAAGGAGGTCATCATCATCCCCAGCAGAAAGTTCATAATAAGAAGAACTCATTTGGAGAGAGAGAAGAATTTATTCAATATCTCCATTATGATCAAAGTAAAGTCAAATGGATAAAAAAATTTATTATCTTTTCATCTTTGCCCTATTCTTGTTAACACAAGAATGAGCAAAGAGGGGCAGCTGAAGATACTAATTTTTTATCCATATTATTATATTATTATTATTATTATTATTATTATTATTATTATTTATTATTATTATTATTATATTATTATTATTATTATTATCATTATTATTATTATTAATATATATTAAATATATATAAATAATTAATTACAGGCCAATTACAAATGGACCGGCCCAGTTACAAACAAACCAGAACCGGTCCAGAACAAACCAGAAACCCTAAACATTTGGGGGTTTCAGTTAGGGTTTCCTAACCCTAATCTAGTCGGCCGCCTCATCACAGCCGTTGGATCTAAGAGATCCAACGGTCCAGATTACCCCAGATGGAAACCCTAGGGTCTGATACCCTAGGGACACGCGGCCGCCGCTGCTATCTCGCCGCCTCCGCCGCTGCCACGTCCCAACCGAAGGCTCCAGAAGCTCCAACGCCAGCCGTCCACGACATGGCTACGGGGTGAGTCACCACTGGTAGTCCGGTGACTCACCGAGACCCCCTCTTCGGACCGGTCCGATGGCCACACCGGTGGTGGCTATAAAAGCCACCACCCGAACCTGAAAAAAAAAACAGAGAGACAGAGACGACACAGGAGATCGAGAGAGATACAAAGAAACTAGATACTAAAAACTACCAACGATCTCAACAACCATTCAGCCAAAAAAACAGAAAAGAAAGAAAAGAAAAAGAAAGAAGAGAAACTTACCAGAGGAAGCCGACCGCCGGATCTAACCAAAACCTTCGAAAAACCGAAGGTATTTTTTTAGATTTTCTCCGATTGGGAGCTGTTTAAAGGAAAAGATCATCGGAACCGTCATTAGGACGGTCCGATCTACGTTTCGATGTAAAAAAAAATTCCGGCCACCGAAGACGGTGGCCGGCGGCGGTGGTTGGCGGCGTACGAACGCCGGCTGACGGCTGCCGGCCGACTGGGCTTCTCTCTGTTTTAGAGAGAAGCGAGAGAAAATTCTCTCTCTCAGAGAAGAGAGAGAGAAGGAAAATGATGAAATGAAGCTGGCCCTTCGGGCCAGCCGGTTTTTGGACTTTTATAGTCCTTCCCGAACGACGTCGTTTCGGGAAGGACTATGCGCGTAATTAGACAATAGTTAAACCCAGTCCGCAGTCCTCCTAATTTGTAAACTTTACATTTTAGTCACTAAATCGAATTTATAATAATTTTAATTCAGTCTTCGAATTTCAATTTTATTCATTTTAGTCCTTTATATTAAAATAATATATTTAGGATAAATAACAGATTTAATCCCTATAATTTTGATTAATTATGAATTAGATTTTTAATTTTATTTTTACTGTAATTTAGTCAGTTATTTTATATGTTTTCATTTATTTTATTGTTTTTAAATATATTGTTTTAGTAGTATTTTTATTCTTATTTTATTATATTGTTAAATATTTTTATATATTCATAAATATATATATAATAAATAGTAATTTTTTATTTTATTTTTAATATCGAAGAAAATGACAGTCTTAATACAACTGGATGTCCTATTCTGATATTTTAAAATTAAAAAGTAAACAATATTATTTAAATTAATATTTATCAATATCAAAGAAAAGAGCTGTCTTAAGGCACCTAGAAGTTCTTTTCTGATATTTTTTAAATAAATAAATATTTTTATATAATTTTGAAATAATAGGATTATAAACTAAATATATTTTTGAATTTTTAAATTTTAACAATAAAGACAATTTATAATTAAAAAGTACCAATTTTGGGCGTTGTAGGGGTGCTAATCCTTCCCTAAACGTAACCGACCACGAATCCCTTTTTATTATTAAAAAGAACGAATTTTTGGTTATAAACGCAGATCAGTTCATTTTTTTAATTGGTGTTTTCTTAAAACTCTTTTAAAAAAAATATAATTTTTAGATATTCGACCTACCTAACCCAAAAGGCCGATGGCGACTCCCAAATTATTTTCAAAACTATTTATTCACATCAATTTCCCCGCCAAGTATAATATTTCATGCCCGGACGAAAACCGGTTACGACACAACGCAAACAAGTAACAAATATATAATAAAAATGCGCTGACATAAAATGTAATGACATAAAAGTGAAATGAAAAATTAATGATGCATGCTAAAATAAAATTCAAAAAAGTAAAAGAAAATCAAACTCAGTTCTCCTCAATTGTAGCTGATGTAATATTCTCTTACCAACATCGACACATAATTGTATGACTGCATGAAGAATTTCTCCATAACATTGTTTGTGGTCACAATTGATGCGTCAGAATGGTTCTACCCTTCTGAAATATCTTCAGAGACGTTTACATCTAAAGTCACATATATTGAACTTCCAACCTCTATAGAAGAAACTTTTTCCTTGGGTTCTTTAATGGCAACTTTCGGGTCACCCATAGTTTCCTCTGTGCTAACAATGTCTTGGTCTTATATTACACCGATAATTTTAACAACCGGTTGGTTGGTTGCTTTCTCAAAGTTGACCTCTATCTCTACACTAGGCTCCGCATGGGTGATCGTAGATTCTGTTGTTTCTGCAACTGGTGCAATCACATTCACCTCTGACATGGATTCTTTCTTAGTTTGGTCCACCTGTTCAGCTTGTAGCACACCTTTTTCTTGAGTCTCTGTACTCAAGTCTTCACTGCATTTTATGTAGTCAACCACCTTAATTGTGTCGCCATTCACCTACGCAGAGGAAGCTTCTATTAAGCCAAAAACAAAATCAAGAACGTCTAAACCTGCTCCTTTAAATGTCAATTTAAAATCTTCAAATACAACTTTATTTGGGTTCATTGAACTCCTCTGTAGTTTCTTTCTCTCTTCCACCAACAATGTGACATTCATCCCTATCGTTGCATCTTAGAGGAGAAGGTAGAAGTGGAGGAGCATCAGATTGCATTGACATGTGGGATTGCGCTGACACCTTTAGTAACAAATGTTAGTGCCACGCGTTTGGTATGTTGATGAAAATTTGTGGAGTTTCTATTTCTGGCACAGCATAACTCTCTTCATGTGTATCATTCTATTCAGAAGGAAATTCATTAGTCTCAAGATTTAGTGCATCAAATTCTTTAATTTGGTCACCACATTGCTTTTCCCCTTGTCCTTGCGTTGTTCTTGTGTCACAAGGCAAGTTGGCCAATGGTTTGGTGTTGAAGTCTGTCACAAGTTGCACAAACTAAGCTTCTAACGCATGACTTGATGAAGAATTTTCTTGCACAATTGCTTCAATTTTGGAGCTATACTCCCGTATTAGAGCTTTAAATGATGCAAGAGGATCGGTGTAGGAGCTTGAGAATATTATCGTGGTTGTAATAGAAATTTTTGCTGCAGTTGTTATGGTTGCGTTGGATTTTAAAGCTACATCAAGATTTTCTTTGATTATATGATAGCTCTTGGTGATCGTGATTGATGTAGGTAGAATTTTTCTCATAGAAAAATGTGGTCGCATTTGGCCCAAAGTCCTGATTCTCCCAAGATTGATTCCAAACAGCTTTGTCATAAAAATTTTCGTAAAAGTTGTTATGGAAGTTGTTTACCTAGTAAGCGCTCTGTTCTCTGCATGTTGGGAACAATCTTCATAAATGGGTGCTAAGTCCACAGTCCATTGCATATTCCTGATCAAACTTGTGAGCTTAGAAACTTGCTCACTAGGGGAAGAAATTGTATCAACTTCCCTAATTCCTGGTGTTACTCTTGCGGTAGCACTTAATGTGGGTGGGTTGAATGTCGAGACAAATTGTGTAGCCAATTCATCCCATGAAGTTATTGAACTCGTCGAAAATCCTAGAAGTCAAGTGTGAGCATTTTCCTGCAAGGAATAAGGGAAAAGTTTCATTTTAATGTATCATAAGTAACACCTTGTTAACTAAATGAAGCGAAAATCCAATGAAAAGAATGTAAATGCTCTCATGTGTCTTCATTTGGCAACCTAGGAAATTTGCCACTGGAACTCGACATTTGCAACATGGCAGGTTGAAGCTCAATATTTCCAGCTTGAATTAATGGTCATAAATTCTGTGGCAACAATGAAGGCATCGCTGCATTGTAAGCTGATAGAATAGAACCATTCTATTTTTTTTTCATGAAAACACAAGAAACAAGTTAGTTAAAAAAATGAAAAGGGTAAAACAAAAAGCAAAAACAACAATTACAAACGTCAACTAAGTCGTTTCCCGATAACGGTTCCAAAACTTGATCTGCTGATGAGATGTCACCGCGATTGGTGTAAGTGAACATTTGTCGATGCAAGAATAGTGATAGCCTCTCGGCTAAATATATTGATCCCACAGGAAACAGTATTGAAAATCTACTACTGATGTTGATGCAATTTCTGTAAAATTTAAGATACGATAGAAGTTGTTTAAGTTGAACGTGGCCGTAAATAATGTGGCGGCGATGAACATAAAGTAAAAAAAACTAAAACTAAATTGATAAAGGAGAATATTCATTAGAAGTTATTCAACCACGACACACATGCAAGCAAGAAAGAATAATTTGATTGCCAGAGCATTAAACGCATGCAAATCTATTAAGCATATCAATCGTTTAACATCTAATCTACTGAGGCTTAATAAACTACGTATCATTCCCTTCAAGGTTATACACCTAGTTCATCACGCCCACAACCCTGCCCAACTTCCGTTGTGACTAAAGTGACTTCCGCCATCAAGGATTGTGCCTAGAGAATGTCAAAAAAATGACACTTTCGTGTTCATACCTTTCCTTAAAATCAATAGATATAAAGAAAACAATAGAAAACTTAATATATTTTAAAATAAAAGTATTTAAAGCAAACTTCCGTTCAATAATATACACAACACACATAGTATTCAAAATAAAAGAGTTCAAGTACATATAGTATCCAGGATAGAATTAATCATTGCTAGCTTGGCTTGGCACTAGTGCTCTATGGAAATTGAGAAGAAAACTTTCAAGAAAAATGGGGGAGATAAAATCTTCTTTTGAAGATGAAGAAGGGTCCCTTTTATAATGCCTCTGCCAGCTGTCCCCTCATGCCTTTGGTGTGACTTTGCCACTTGTCGCCTTATGCCTTTAGTGTGATCTTAGTCGTCCAAAATATATATCTCATCATCATATAGAATTTTCTAGAATTTTTTGCAACTGTCCATTGTTTTTACATCTGGAAGCAATCAACGCATCTAGCAGTTGTGCCCACATTATATCTTCACATCTCCTACATGACTATTCGTATAGCTTCTAGAATAGCGACAACTCAGCAACTTTCTAGAAGATGGGACAACTCAGCATAACCATCTGGATTCTAGAATGATCATTTATTCGTTCGATGATTGCACCCACATGTTTCTCCAAATGACTGTTACGACATGTAAAGTATTTTCCTACATGCCAACTTGCCAATTAATTCATATTCATCATTAGTAGTTGTTTTGCGATGCATATCATAGAAGTATACACTTCAAATCATAGTTTTGAAGTTTAATTCAATGGTTTTCATGATCAACCTACTTAGGATAGTAAGTAATGAACTCACTCATCCATGGATAGTGAGGAATGCGCTCACTAATTTCATCTCATACATATGTATCTATCATTCTTTTAAAATAGGTTGTCAAATCAATATGCATCAAAAAGTAACATAATACATATGTTATTCCAACATGCTTCCAATGCCATAATCCACCAATACACCTCATCATAAAGTCAACCAAGATTAGAGGGTTAATCACTTACTCTATGATAGGGCTGTAAAATCAGGTAATCAGGCAGGTTTCAGTCGAATCTTGACAGGTCGGGTAAAATCGGATGCATATCAACTCAGGTTGATTTGACACCAGATCTAGATCGGGTTCAGGTCAGGTCAAATCAGTTCGGGTTATTTTCAGATTGATTTGATACCAGATCCAGATCGGGTTAGGGTCAGTTCATTTTCAGTTCGGATCGATGTCAGTTCAGGTCAAAACAGTTCAGGTCCGAAGCATATAGAGACCAGGTTAATTCAGGTTCGGGTGGACTTCAGTCGGATCTCGTTCTAATCGGGTCATATCGTTGACAGATAAAATTCAGGTCGGATGTTTATCGGATACGGATTGAGTTCAGGTCGGGTCGTTTTTATTTTTGGATTAATTATTTTGTCATTTTTCGTGATTGTTGAATTGCAAGTTGTAATCGTATATGATTTCGAGTAAATTACAAAAAAATCATGGATCAATTTTGTAAAAAAATATAAATTTAAGGACAAAATTGAAGAAATATAAAATTACAAATAAAATTTTAAAATATAAATTAAACAACACACATAGGTAAGGGACCAAATCAAAATAAATTTAAAATGTGAGGTTTAAATTAATATAAAAAGGACTAAATTATACTCATTTAAAAAGTTATGGGTCAGTTACAAAAATATAAATAACAATTAACAATTGACCAAATGAAGATGCAAATATAAATTTAAGGACTAAATTGAATACATATAAAAGTGGAAGACTTAAAATTAAAATAAACTAAAAAACACAAAAGGATGAAATCGAAATAAATAGAAAATGTGAAGAAATAATGAAAAATATAGTAAATTGTATTTATTTAAAAAATTGAAAAAAATATAATATATATATATATATATATATATATAATATAAGTTTATATATAAACTATATTTATATATATACTATATAATTATTATAAGCTATGTACATAAATTATGTTTATATGAACTATATATATAAACTATATATGTAAACTATATATGTATAAACTATAAAATTATATAGTTTATAAACTATAATTTATATATATATATATATATATATATATATATATATATATATATATATATATATATATATTAGTGAGTGGTGAGAGAACACTTTTTAAAAGAAAAAATTTTTTGTGTGAAAATTTTTGATTTTATTTAGAAATTTGGAGGCAAATTGGGAATTTAGAGGGAAATTGAGAAATTTAGAGGGAATAGAAAAATTTGGGAAGTTGGTGTCAATGTGTTCAACAAGATATTTTGGGTTAATTAGGCTCATGCTCCTCCAGCAATCATCATTTTCCACTTGTATTTGATTTTTTATTTCTTTCATTTTAGTCATGGTTTAATTGTAAATATCTTATTGAATTTTCAATTTGATGAATTGTAAATATCTTATTGAATTTTCAATTTGATGCAGTTTAATCATGTATACATTCTAATTACTTTTAATTTTCTATATATATATATATATAAACTATATATGTATAAACTATATAAAATATATAGTTTATAATTTATAATTTATATTAATATAGTATATATATGTATGTATAACTAATATAAGTAATCTATAGATTATATATATATATTATAGAAATAATATGCATAAACTATATAAAGTAATAAAATATATAGTTTATAGAAACCCTAAACCCTAAACCCTAAACTCTTAACCCTAACCCTTGAATTATATATGTAACTTATAATACATGTGTCTATCAAATATGTATAATATATATAAACTATATATATATATATAACCTATATATAAAAACTATATAAAGTAAATTACTTATATAGTTTATAGAAACAATATGCATAAACTGTATAAAGTAATAAAAATATATAGTTTATAGAAACCCTAAACCCTAAACTCTAAACCCTAAATTTTAAAACATAAATCCTAAACTCTAAACTTTAAAATATAAACTCTAAATCCTAAACCTTGAACTATATATGTATAGACACAGTTGATAATTCATATATAGTTTATATAAACAATAGTTTATATAAATTATATATGTAACATTAACTTATAGTCCATAAACAATAGTTAACATATATAACCTATAGTATATGTATACATATAAACTATATATGTAACTTATAGTACATGTATGTATAAACAATGTATAGTATATATAAACTATATATATAACCTATAGTATATGTATATATACAATCTATTTATATGTTATATAAACAATATATGTAACCTATAGTTTATAGACAATAATTTATATTAGTGTACTATATAGTTTATACTTTATAACCTATAGTATATAATTTATAAACTATAGTTTATATTAATGTACTATATAATTTATATTAATGTTAATTATCTTAAATATAATTTATATTAATATAATATATAGTTTATAAACTAAACTATATTAATATTAATTATATTAACTATAGTTTATAATTTATACTATATAATTTATAACATATAGTTTATATTAATATTAATGTTATAGACTATATTTTATATTAATAATAATTACAAATTATAAACTATATTATATTAATATAAGTTAATATTAATATTAATTATATTAATATTAATTATATTTCACTGTTTACAAATCATATTACATAGCAATTTGCCGTTACAGACAAATACCTCAAACTGCGTGCAATGGAATAAGGAAAAAAAAAAGAAGCTTTGTCCCTATTAATACCAATCCTCGTCATCATCGACCAAGTACACCAACCCCTACAGATGTCATACACTTGTCCTATTTTTTCACGTGTCGGCCGATGTTAGTCTTTGGAAATGGTAAGCTTTTTTTGGCGCGAAAACGAAGCTTACCTCTCTTTTGTCCACTCATCTTTTCTTACATGCCCAACTTGGCCTCTAGTCGACCCCATGCCCTTCCTTTTTTTAGTTTTTTTTTCATTTTAGTCAACACACATGCATGCATGTATGTATGATGAATCCGAGTATTTATAACCATCGACATAATAACCATTGTCATGCGGTGTCAAGTGTGTGTCATCGAGTATTTTATTAATTCTATTAAATAGTTTTATATTATAAATCTATTTATTAATATAATTATCATAATTAATATTTTATTATAACATTTAAAAAGTAATCATATTAATATTTTAATTACATTATAAACTAAAAACCTCATAATTTTATTAAAATCTTATAATTTTGTTCATGGTAATATATAAATCAGGTAAATATCATATCAGGTCATTAACAAGTCGGATCATTTACAGGTCAGGTTAAAAACAGGTCAGGTTGAAAACAGGTCAGGTTGAAAACAGGTCGGGTAATACCAATTATTTACCAGGTTAATCTCGGGTTCGGGTTCATATCAGTCGGATGCAGTTCGGGTTCGGGTATCATATTTTCAGTTCAATTCGGGTTCAGGTCGTTCTCAGGTCGGATGCAGATCGGGTTCGGATCCATAATTTCCAGGTCCAAATCGGGTTCAGGTCAACACCAGTTCCGACTCGAGTCGATTTCGGATCGCCACAGTGCAGGTCAAAAACAATTTTGACTCAGGTCAATTTCAGTCAGTTTTATAGGCCGGGTCAGCTTTTTACAGCCCTACTCTAGGATCTTCGAATAGGGACTAACCTACAACTAAGCCCTACATTGATGATACACATCACAATTGAATGGGCAATCACTCAAATAGATACAGAATGGTCGAATCTTGACTTCAATACAATCTAACTTGCTTCTAACAAGTGATGCACCAAATCCTCTCAACCGTACACACAATAAGCCCCTTATAAAACATAATAAGGTGTCATAAAAGCATCCAAAATAGAGTTGAAAATTCTGCTTTGAAAATATAACCGAAAAGATTGAAATTTCCAGAATCCTTTTTGATCTAGCGAAATTGACTACCTAGCTCAATAGCTGATCAAGAAAAATTGAAATCATGATTTAGACGCTATACAATCACCTAAGCACGTCAGCAAACAAAACCACTCTCGGATTTCCTAAAAC